CTGATCCTGCTGTGTTCATTCATCTTTAAATGCTATTATTAGATTACTGCCAAACAGCCCCTTGTAAATTATTAATTTTTTCTCTCCAGCAACTTCATTCGCTGTTCATTCTAATTAATTACACTTCTTTAATCTAAGTCTTGATAAAAGTAAAAACAAGTATGGATAGTGAAAATCAAATATTTTGTGTTGATAGAATTTATTATCTTTAGCTTTTTCCTTCTTATACAAAATCCCTTTTGGCCATCTGTAAATTGTCACCTGAAACTAAGATATTTATCTGGCAAGTATTCTTATTCATAAGGCGTTGGCACTCTATAATAGATGTCCTGCATTATTTGTGCAGATTGATTCACTGTCCCAGGTATTTGTTTACTGCGTTACATATTTAATGGGGATTCCCATATTGTCTCCACCACGCACTTCTAAAGCGAGAAGAGAAGTGACTGAATCGGTGACAGTGTGGCATTTTGTTGTTTCCGGGTTTGTTTTCATCACAATATTTGTCCTTCAAGTTTTCTAAGCTATATCACAACTGTGTTCTGACCTGCTAGCTTTTTATTTCCCTTAACTGTAATACTTTTACGTTGAGGTGATTCTTTGTTGAAGGTTTGTTCGTAGAAAAGCCAAATTTAATTTAGAGAGAGAGGGAGAGAAAGAGCGTGCACTCTTGTAAATTCACATTATTTGGTACAATTCTTTTGAGGGAAAGATGAAAGGTACTTGAATTCTGATACCTATATGTATTGTAAATACTTCATTCGAATTGACGCACATATAGATATATTCTTACAGATTTCGCTGTATTGCTGTTCTATTTGAGACTATTTGAAGTCTTAAGTTCTGTAAATGATAAATTTTGTTGGTTTTGTTAATAGAAGGTTTATTTATTACAGTAATGTATTAAGTTATTTAAAAATGTTGTTGAAATGTCTTTCATTAAAAAAGATTTTAACATTTTATTGGGAAAATATGTTTTCTGGTTTTTTTTAATTAAAAGTCTGCAACTGGATTGAAATTGCTTCCACATCTCATATTTTAACATTGAAATGGGAGGACTATTTTGACCTTTTGTAATGGTTTACAGCTCCTACCAGCTCTTCCTTTCCGGCCGGGTGGGAGCTGGATTATCTGTATAGGTCTGATCTGTTATTTATCAATGGAAGGTGAACTCATTACCTGAGGGTTTTTTTTGCGGGGGGAGGAAGTAGAGAGGGGTAACCTGTCAGCCGTTAGAATATACCTGTATATACTCCGTTGGTCAGCAAGAAGGTGCTGACTGTTCCTTCCCAAGCAGCATCACAGAGCTTCTGTGTGGCCAGCCATAGCTTGATAAATAGTTTGCTAAATGCACGGCAGTGTTTACTAAGCAAGGATGGCGGAAAGGAAGCTGGGGAGGCCTGGAAATGGCTATTCAATTAGCCTGTCTTCTTAGCTGTGCTCTGGGAGTGATGACGAGTGTAGGCTGGGTCCCAGGAGCTCAGCGCCTGGGCCGCAGTACCCTGTACACAATCATCAACATAATCACACACACACACACACACACACACACACACGAAGGGGTTGCCTACTTACGTACAGACATTCCCTACGGCATTTTTTTCTGGACCAAAAAAGTCTGAAGTGGAGATTAAACTATGGCGCCATTATGGCATTTGCTTATTGGCTAGTACAGATCGGTTTTACCTGTTACAAAGGCAAGAGGAAGCGTCCACGTAGGAACAGAAATACTTTAAAATTAGCAGTGTGGATTAGCAGGGCGAAATGCGTTTACACGCAGCCGCGTGTACTCATTTTCATCTCTATAACATCTGCCACGGGGACATGCACAAGAAGTTTCAAACGCACGAGAGACCAGCTGGGAGAGGGGGGAAGCTATGGTCTGTAGATAGAGTTCATCTGAGAGGCAGGCACTAATTGCCCTGGACCAAGAGCGTTTCGTGTTTAGCAGGACAGATGTACATGTCACGGGATGAAAAGATAATTCCAAGGTGCCATATAGAAATACCCTCCGGAAGTCTGCTTTCTTGTACTACAGAGAACTAATATAAGCACCTAGAAAGGTCTGTGTCAGATAGGAGGTGTGGATTGACAACATTGTAGCCCATGGAGTCGCGCTCTTTGAAGGAGAGTAATTTGAATAAGGAGGGTGATGGGGCGATAACATTGGCGTTCCGCATTTCAAATGTAGGGATTGAGGCTTATGGGCTGTTCTTTTGCTAATAAAGGGAGCAAAGGATGCACCAAACCAACAGCGACGGTAGAAGAAAGTCTCTTTGCAAGTAGCAGGCCATTCCTCGCCGCGTGGGATGGGCTGTGAAAAGGAGCGGTGTGCACATAAAGAATCTGGGTGACGCGTATTAGTGTAAAAGAGGAGAGCGCTGAAATACAAACCCTTTCCCTCACTCACCTTTATGTTATGGCTGCGCTGCTTCGTAGGCTGGGCGCCTCACGGCGGCTTGGCGTTCAGCACCAAGGACAGAGCTCCTTGGCTCTCTCCGGCCTTCCGTCGGCGTCTGCCTTCTGAGGCCCAGAGAGACAGCAGAGAGCCCCAGAGAGGGGGGCGGGGGGAGAGGGGGCGTAGAGAGAGGGGAGGAGGGGAAGCTTCTTGCTTTAGGGACTCAGCAAATTAAATGAAATATTACTTCACTCTCGACAAATCTTTCCATGTAGCGTTAATGGGGAGCGGATGATGGGAATCTCCATATGAAATCTCACAAATAATATTTTTATAACAAATTACAAAACCTGAAGTCAGGGGAGGCAGCTAAATATAAAAAGAAAATAATTAATCTTCTGAATAAAAATAATCGTCCTTGCTTTACAGATATGGCAGAGTATTGATTAGCCTAGAGTGCTGCACTGGGAATTGATATAGTCAAGAGTTAATACCACATATTGTTAAAATGACTCCAGTAAGTTACAATAGCAACATTTTCCCCTCAGAATTTGCTTTTTCTTTTCCAGCACGCCAGTGAATCTCTTTTTGCTCAGTTCTTGAAGGTTTTATGATTTAAAGTAATGATAAATAGATTAGATAAACAGATGCTTTTAAATAGCTTTGAAAGTGACACCAACATAATTTAAAGATCTGGATTCGCTTCCTGTTTAATAGCCTATTGTTTCCACTTGATGCAATGTTTGTTAATTAGAAAAATGTAATTTGACTACGAACAGATTCTTTGGAGTTCATAAGAGACAAAGAAATCCAACACCAAACAGGAAAAAAGTATGTAATCTATATATTATTGTTACATATTCGTTTATCTCTTCAATGATTATATAGATACTCTGCTTTAAAATAGCCGGAACAGGTCGAGAGTGATAACTGATAGCCTGGTATTACTGTATATCATTGGCGTACCAATCAAATCAATCGGTATCGCATGGCTCAGTTTCTGAAATGTTCTGAAACTCCAGTTATATAGATTGATATTTTAGAGCTATGTATACCACAGAGACGGCGAAAGAGAAGAATAATAGGTTTCAGACCTCACTTCCTTCACTTTCTCACTTTTCTTTAAAGAGTAATCGCTACAGTTGTGGGTCCTATTGATAACATTTCATATTTTTCGGTTCCACACCACAGTGATAACAAACGGGGGGAGGGGGAGAGAGAATGGTGGTGGAAGAGGATTGTCAACTAACGGACAAACCACAGTCTTGATTCACTATCAATACTTCAAGGTTAGAATCTTTCATCTCAATATCTCTTTGCTAGCTAGTTCCATATTTTTGAAATAAATCTCTTGGAAGTTTGTAATTCTCTAGTTTGGTAATCCCGGTGTTTCGGTTTTTGCTTTTTAAATTGAAATGCACTAAGCGACTGATTTAAAATTGTGGAGATCTGAAAGTGCGAAGTAGTTATTTTGAATTTCCTAAAGAAGGAAAAATGCATTTTGACGAGTTAAACATACGCAATAGTGCAATGAATAAAAGCAATCTTGCAAACGGCTTTTACATTGTGTAAGCAAAACGACTCATTTTAGTAGCATAATTTCAACCTGAAATAAAACTGTAAAATGTGATTTCTTCCCTTTAAATTTCTATTCAAGGACATGTATATTTCTTTGCTAAACAAAACAAAGCAATCCTCTTATTTGCCTAACCTAAATATCTTCCTCCGCCTCTTTTAATTGGCGTTCAATAAAGCAACATTTGCTTCGGGTTTTCCAATGAAGTGCATGTTTCTCAGTGTGATGGAAGTATTGATGACTCTGAAGTTGCTTTAATAATGTTTGTGTCTCTAGGAGGGGAGGGGAACTAAAGATTGCTCTGTGAGGTCCCCATGTGTCTTAAAAAAGAAAGGGAGAACGAGAACAGCTACTGCCTACATACATAAATAAACAAAATGGTCCACGCTGCCACTGAGCTATTCCACAGTAAGAAGAATCGAATAATTGAAATCACCAGAAGGGCAGAATTTGTCAATAGGCGTGTGCATTACATGTTTCTGAACTTCCGCTTTGCCCTCTTAAATGAGCCATTCACTTAAAGGCTATTATGGGCGAATTAATAAATTACACAGCGAATTATTAAATCCAGATAATTACAAGGAATAAGTAAGTAATCATTAGTTAGCTCAGCTAATTACTGTGGGTCAGAGCGAGCTGGAATGTGAAATCCTCCTCGGGAATTGAAATTAACTTTGCCCAGTGAGTCTCTCTCTGCTTGACATCCCTAGTCTGTAGGCACATGGCAGCTCCCCTGTGAGCCGGTCTTTCATTTAACTTGTACAGAATGGAAATAAAATTAAGTGGCGATGTGATAATAGGAAGCTGCTTAGAAAGCAAACGCTTTGAGTTTTATTTTATTTTTATTTTTTTTACCTTTTACTGCCTGGAGAAATTTCTGGTTCCCAAAATTAAGGAAAAAAGCTGCAATTAGAGCAATTCCGAATGAGTGTCCCACGCATGCAGATTAATAACAAACGAAGAGGAATGAGGCAGGAAGCAAGAAATCTAAGCACCAACAAA